TTGACAAGGAGGTTGTCTAAAATGTGTCCGTGTCAGCAGGATTATTTAATAAAATTTAAATTTCACATCATATTTTGACAAATTAATATGAATATGACATAAGAAAAAAATGGGGAAACCTGGTTGTGATGTTCTCGAGAAAATATCGCAAGTTAATCTGGATCCAGAGATTCACTTCCTGCATGAATTTTCAGACAGGTGAAAGCATGCAGCCTTGGACTGCACTTGTTGACCTTTTGATCATATTACATGATTATAAGTTAGGAGGTGCAGTTTGTCCCATTTGTCATGTAACTGTAGGACTTCAAGCTCTTAACATCTCTTCAGTGTTTGCTTAAGTTATTTTTCCTGTTTCCTGTCCATGATAACACCTGCAGCTTTAAAACATTTTTAAAAATTATTTTACGCAGCTGTTTTCAAAGGTGACCTCAAGTAAGCAAAAAAGGTCATTTTGCTTCCTCTATTAGGCTTTCGGTCTGGGGATAATGATGGTGTGTACTTGATTTATGCTTGTAGTGAAGTGTATGATTATGTCAGGGTGAAACACCGTCTCCAGGACATCAGTGTTTATCAGAGTCTCAGTGTGAAACAGCCGTATCTTGTCACAAGTCCAAGATGAGGGCTGAGCTGTGGATTTCCCAGAAAGCGTCACTAGGCAAACAAACCAACTGGTGCTCGAGAATAAATATACAGAGAGATGAAATGAGCTGTGACGTATTCATAGAGCAGGTAGACTCATTCCTTAAAAATTATGTTTTAAAGTTTCATTGTTTTTAAATTAAGTGTCGGCCGCTGTTACTCTGGTTAACCAGGCTTTTTCCAGTTAGGGCTTTTTAATTTGGAGTAGAAAGTTGAAGTGCATAGATGTACTTGGAATCAAACAAGATCATGTCAGTGAACCTGTTAAAATTTAATTTAAAAATTTTTTTTCTCTCTTTCATGCTTCTTTCGGGTTTTTCTCCTCCTCAGTTTCTTCTGTAGCCGCCATCATTCTGTGCTGTGGGGCCGACCCCAAGATGTCTTCTAATGGAGACCTAAGTGAGCTGGGGAGCTCTGAGAGCTTCTGGGAGGTACAGTAGTAACACTTTAATTGCTGTCGTACATCAGCCGCTCTACAAAACTTAAAACAACACTTAACTTTTTATAGTCTGAGTCTTATTATAGCTGCAGTGTTTCAGCCTGCAGACACAGGTTTCTACCCACTCATGCTACTAATTAACCTAACAAGTTGTGAGCTTTCCAACAAGTTGCTTTTTTTCTTATTGGGGTTATGCAACTTTACCAGTCTTTTCTGGCCCGTCTTTCAACTTTTTTGAAAATTCAAATTAAAAAACATCCTTTTTGAATTTTTTTTTAAATTTTCAACCTTTCATGTTTTTCACTGTTTAAATGTTTTCCAAATCACTGCGATTTAACACCACCAACTCTAGCCTGTGAAAGGATCAACACCTGGCTCAATGTGTTCAGCACACTCTGGACACCATGACCTTCATGTACGGAGTGCTTTATTGCAGGAGACTGATAGTTATCTAAATGTGCCAAACCGGGAGCATGTCTATTTAGCTGATCAACAGCACCTGAATGCAGAATAACTAAGAGGCCGAAGCAGCCAGATAAGTCAGTGTGTCAGTCAGCCGGGTCTCATTACATGCTTTTATCTAAAGACCGAAGACTGACTTCTTCACAGCCTTCCATGTTGGGAAAAATACACACTCTCATCTCCAGTGGCTGTATTACCTTTTGTCTCCCCTTTTTTGTTTTTTAATCTCAGTTTCGATCATCTCTATATCATTTATCCACCAAATATGCTTCAGTCCAAACTGTTGTTGCTAATGTCTAGATACAACGATGACATGAATAGAACTCAGGGAGTGACTGACGCTGTTCTATTTCCTCGCTCCTGTTTGGTTCGTTGGTGTGTCTCTGCAGCCGGGGAACTACAAAAGGACGGTAAAGCGGATTGACGATGGCCACAGGCTGTGCAATGAGCTAGTCACCTGCTTCCAGGAGAGAGCCAAGATAGAAAAGCACTACGCTCTTCAGCTGAGTGACTGGGCCAAGAGGTGGAGGGTTGTTGTGGAGAAAGGTGAGTTTAAATGCTAGCTTTTTATAAAAGAGTGGATATAGCCACCAGTTAGTTTCCATCAGACGTCACCACATTTGGATAGAAATTATGACGTTATTGGCCAACGCTAGCATGGGCTAGCTTAGTTAGAAAAGTGCATCAGTAGAGATTTTCGCAGAGATTTTAAATATGGTGATCATTTTGGGGGCCTGTGGGGATTAGCCTGGTCTCAAGGGCCCTTTCAAAGAACTGCAGGTCAGAGTGTGTGTGTGTGTGTGTGTGTGTGTGTGTGTGTGTGTGTGTGTGTGTGT